ATGGCAAATTTGCGCCCTAGAAGACCTTTAAGGGTTCCACGTCTTACTCGTAGACAAATTGCTGCTCGTGTCCAGTGGGCTAGACAACAACAGGAGTGGCTTTTTTTTTAAATTTCGCCCGAGAAGTTGTCCCATATCAGGGCGGATCAATAATGTTTTGGGGAGGCATAATGTTTAACAACCGGAGTCCTTTAATTCAGATCCAGGGGACAATGATTGCAGAAATTTATGAAGAACATGTCATACAACCCATTATTCAACCTTTGCGAAATGAATTCGGTAACAACTTTTTATGGATGATAATGCAACGCCACATAGAGCGAGAAGGGTCCAGCGGGTTCTAGAAAGGGGCCAAATAGTGAGATTGCCGTGGCCTGCGAACAGCCCAGACATGAACCCCATTGAAAACATTTTGGGACACTATAGCTCGAGCTGTACGGTACAGAATAGATCCACCTACAACCCTAAATGAGCTGGCTGCAGCAGTAAATGAAGAGTGGAATAATTTACCCCAAGAAAACATTAACCACCGAATAATAGGAATGCCAAGGCGTGTTAACGCACTGCTAAGATCTAGAGGACACCGAACTGGTTATTAATTATGTTTTATTTTCTTTAGAATAATTGTTTTCTTTAATTTTGATTTTTTAAAATAAAATTTTCGGTACCTTACTTGTTCAACTTCCTTTTTCTTTTCATATTAATGAAATTAATTTAACGTTTTGTTAAATAAATATAGTAAAAATATCCCCAATTTAAAATATATCAAAGATTGAAATTAGAAAGCTATAGTTTCCCAGTACGCCAGGGGGTCCAACACTTTTGATGATGTGTGTATCTTTGAAACTGTACCCTCCAAACCTTCCAGAAAACATGACTTTTCAATTTGTTTCTTGCCTCCCACGCAAAAATTTCGAAAGTAAAGTATTATGTTTTTTCAATGTAAATGACATATACATCACAAGAAACCATGCCATTGTTTCTGCCGGTATGTCTGTTTAACAGTCTGTCTGTCTGCTAATCATTAGCCCTTCTATAACTTGTACAGTACCGCTCTGTTTGAAGAATTCGGCACGTCTACTACTACTAAAGGACAAAAGGGCTTTGTAGGTTTTGAAATTCGTTTCATGGGCGGCGGAGCACCTCACAAAAATTGTATAAGATCCGTTTTTTGACATTTCAAGACTGCTCATTTTAAGACTTGTCCAAATATTTTCTTTAATATCAGTGAAAGATGGTTCTTTTATTAATGAATTTCTGACTCCAACAAGAGTATGCACATGTATTAGTCACACATATTTCCCAGGCATTACAAACGGTAGCTGAACACTTTCATGACCTCTCTGGGAATATCCGCTGGGATACTCTAGTTTGGGTATAAGCAGAGTTATCTCTGCGATTTTAAGTTAAACTAAGCATGAGTGAACTCTATCTATCCTTATTTTGCCTACAAATGTTTCGTTGACATAAATTAACTGGGCTATTCCCGAAACTTTGTATGCGGACTGTAACTCGAAATGCGGAGGGTGAGCAGATCAGATAATCAGATTAACTGATGGTGATGACGGTTTATAAAAATCCATATTTGTTCCCAGTTCTCTCCAGAGTATTGTTCGAGTGTGCATGTGCATGAATATTGTGGAGTGGAGTGAAGAGTCACGGTACCTTTATTAAAACGATTATCTACAGGGTGCCCGCAAATATTCCATTAACAACATTTCAGCTCGTGGTGCATCAGTGAAACAGATTATTGGGCTGCAAAGGCTGAAATCGATTAATCAACAGTGTGGGTTGTATTTAATTTCTGTTAACCGAGGTCCATTTAAGAGAATATTGTTATACAGGGAAAACCTTATTTGTCTTACATTCAATGTGTACGAAAGAGAAACGCGAAAATTGTGTATTAACACATGTAAGTAAGAGATAGAAAGCCGGCTGACGCAGAGAGGCCGTGGAATCTGCCGCGTCGCCAACATGTTCGCACATGGCTTTCTACACTATGTTAGTATCTATCATACCAAAGAAGGAGGTCTGTTTGAACATTTATTTTAACATTTTGTTTTCATTTTCAATGAGCGCTAGATGGGTACTGACCAAATCGCTCATCTATGCAGTATGGATGTGGAAACTTTGCCTTGGAATGTACGAGATACGGTGTTACCAAGCAAACCAATGTGCAGTGCTGCAGAATTTGTAACGATCCCAACCTTTTCATTTTCGACGTTTAAAATGGAGCACCGTTAGAGCAGATCCGGAATCGATCCTAAACAGAATCAACAACACTTCACAATTCAAAATGTGTGCGCTCAAAATGAACCATGATTTGTGCGTCGAGATTAAAGTAACAGCATATTAATTCAAGGAACTGGTCTAACATATGGCGACGCGGCAGATTGCCGCGTCAGCGTTGCTAGACAACTTCGCTATCCAGCCGGCTTCTATATCTTTCTAACATATGTGTTTCTACACACTTCTCTCTCCTACACATTGACACTTAAGCCGTCAGACAAATTCAAATACAAAGTGTTGCAGAATTTTGGCCAGGAAGAGTGAAGTTAGATAAACCTATGACGAGCTCATATAAGCAAAGTCGGGAAATGCTTCCATATGGGCTGGGTTGCCGCTTCAATTATCACCACATTCCTCGAAAGCAGATGGAAATATTGAGTTTTGTTTTGGTACAAGCAAATATCTTATCAAAGGTCACAATAAATTAAACCAATACGCCCCTAGCTATTGGAAAAAAGTATCATAAGTACTGTGTCTTCAATGAACCGCCTGTTTTGGGCGGCAGTATGACCAGTCTTGCTGATGCCCAGCGCCACCTGTATAATACCACGCGCAAGTAGCCAAGGCAGGGAAGTTTCTGTTATATAAGGTGTCCCAATATTCCGTGGACAAATAACTTGCACGTATTTTTTACTCAAAATAAGTCGATTGAACATGATTTACCTCTATGCAAAAGTGCTTCGTTTGTCCGTCAGAGGGCGTTAAAGTTTTCTTTTCGAAACATATTTTCTAATATATTTTCAAAACCGATACCCCGATTTGAATGAAATTTGGAATACATATGTTTTGCTAGACGTTCTAATATTTGACTTTCATGAAAAACTCTCAAGTGTTTGAGAAGGGTGAAAACTACCCCCGCCCCTACATAAATTATAGCAGAATTTTTTAGCATTTCTCCTGGCGACTCTGAATTTTTTTTAAATCTTTTTATTTGCTTCATTTTTTGTCTCCTACAAAAACAGGCCACATCGGATAATTGCCGAAAAAAAATGAGCCGCGTCAAGAAGTTCCCAAGAGTCTTATTATTAATAATAAATATTAGTAATAATAATAATAATTAACGTCTTTTTTATTTGTAATAGTATTACAGGAGGCGAGATTTAGATACTGTATCTATTCTACCACCTAACTCCCTTAACAATACGAGATGATTTAAGTGTCGTTAGC